TGGGGCTTGGCTATGGTGGGCCACGTACGTCCCTTGGCCCGTGGACCTTGAGGCCTGGCTATGGTGGGCCACGTACGTCCCTTGGTTCTTGGGCTTCAGGGGTTGATGGGCCGGTCCTGGAAGGCCATTAACCCAACAAAGTGGCTTGTGGAGGGATCCCCCAATGCAGCTCGAAGTCACTCACTTCAGGAGAATTCCAAGACGGGAGGCGGATCGGGAGGGCATGGCTGGAAGAAGTCTACGACTGACACGAGAGATAACACGACTAAGGATGGGGACTTGGGAAGTACTAAGGAAGTGTCAGGAGAACAAAAGAGAGAAGAAGAATCTAGGAAGCACAGCCAAGAAGGGCCAAGCAGGGACAATATGTCTGTCGACAAGCCATAAACAGGGATGAGGCGGGCTAAGATGTTTAAGCCCGCCAAAGGAATAGTCGCAAGGAGCAGGTTCGGGATGGTGTTCGGTTTTATTTCTCTGGAAGACGAAGCAGGGTTTTTATTTTTTCATTGTGTTTGTTTTCTTTGGTGTCGAGTACTTTGCTTTTTATCAGTCTAGATCTGTTACTTTTTTGCATTGTAAGACTATGAGCTTGGATTTGGGTGACAGGAGGTTTGCGTTAAGCGTCTTTGGCTCAGTTGCGCTCATTTATGGATCAACGAGTTATATTGCTTCTTTTGAGGTGATTAACTCTGAGTCTGGTTCGAGGGTCGTCGGTTGCCAGCAGTCTTTTTGTCTCTTTAGCCCTTATCTGCATGCTGTGATATCAATTTAAGCCACATTCCATAAAAAAAACTCAAGTGTAATACTAAATTGATCATTTTACTCAATTGAGACCGTCTATTCAGCACAGAAAGTAAGCAGTCTAGCTTTATATGTATGAAATGCATAAATGGTACCTTAACTATTGGTATTGTTGCATTTTGGTACCTTAACTTTCAAAGAAATGAGCATTGATATAACATTTTAAAATGATGAGTACAAAAAATAAGTTTTATGCTATACACAAAAGAGTACAATATATAAACGGATTGTATTTCGATATAACATTTTAAGATAAGTTATATTACAACTGACTATTCAATGAAGATGTTTTGACGCTCAATAGGTTTTGAAAGTTTTATGCTCAATTGCAGAGTTCCAATGTTCATTTGAGGAAACTTGATGCGCAAAAAAATGTCTTGATGCTCAATGAAAATATATTAATGCATATTTCAAAAGTTTAATATTAAATTAAATTCATATATTGGAATCCATAATAGTTGATTATAGATATAACTTAAGATTTTTTTATAAAAGAAAAAATTAGAAAAAGAAAGTGAATCAAAAGTTATGAATCAGAATTCACGATGATTAATATTGGACTCCTAATACTCAACAGAATAGGTCAGATACTCATTAAAAGTTCATTAATGCTCATGTAACAGAAACCGTGATTTTCATCTCAATAGAGGAGGTTTCATGCTCAATGAAAATGTCGTGATTTTCAACTAACAAACCTTACAATTTTCGTATCAATGAGTATTTTAATTTGCAAGTTAGATATGCTCATTTGGTACTGATGTTATTCTCATTTGTAAAATATTATACAATGTATATTTCTAAAGTACAATATTACATTAGATTCACATACTGAAATTCATAGGAGTTGATTACTGATATAAATTAATAAGTTTTATAGAAGAAAAAATAAGAAAAAGAAAGTTAATTAGAAAATATGAATCAGAGATCATGATGTTCATTGTTAGGCTCCTAATATTTACTCTCTCTAGAACATGTCCAATGCTCAATAAAAGTACACATGTGCTCATTTAGCGGAATCCATGATTTTCACTTAAATTACAAAAATGACATTGTTAAAAAATTGACCCTTTCGCTTGTTTTCCACCTCAAACATTGGACCTTTAGGTTATGGGATGTACACTAATTAATGAGCATGTATGTGTGTCCAGAAGCACGATACACTACAACAAATAAAATAAAAATGAAAATAAATAAATATGTCATGAATTATATGAGTATGCGAGATAGATAAAAGTATATATTATTAATTTACATTGTTTGTGACTAGTTCAAAAAAAGTTCATGAGTATATACGTTATATGTGATATAGTTGAGATAAATATTTATTGTTTCATCAATACGAATTCTTTAAGTTAAATAAAAATAAAAAGTTAATTAATACTAATAACAAGTAAAAACATATTATCAGTATAGCAAAATTATTATGTGCAATGAATGTGTAAATGAATTCACAAACTAAACTAAACATAACAAACATTATTTCTCTAGCACAAGAAAACCAAAAACTATTAATGATATTAGGATTAGTTAGGATTAATGCTTAACAATGGACAAATAAATTTTACTCCGTATATTTTAACTAGTTCGGTTTGTTCGGTTCGGTTCGGTTTTGAAGGGTAAAAACCAAAACCGAACCAAACAACAACGGTTCGGTTCGGTTTTTTACATTCAGTTTCGGTTTGTTAGCGGTTCGGTTTTATTTGGCTACGGTTCTGTATGATTTGATTCGGTTTTCGGTTTTTTATTTTTCGGACCCAGCCCTAATACAGGGACCGCATGTCGTAGAACTGAAACTTCAATTCGCTCATTGGCAATTGAATCGGACAATCGCTACAGCGCTACTCGCCTATAGCCTACTCTGTTACTCGATTTCACAAGTCGGCCGTCTGATTGTCGGTGGACTGCGGCTAAGCATGGCTAGACGCTACTCGACACCGGACAACCTCTTCTCTCGAATTGCAGGTAAATTTCTTGATGGTTTAGTTTTATTATGTTTTTTATATTCAGTTGAGCTCCTTTAATTTCAACCTGCTATATCCAGAATTCCAAATTTCCTAATTGTTTAGTTTTATTATATTTTTTAGATTCAGTTTAGCTCCTTTAATTCCAGCTCGTTTTATTCTTCATACTTTCACGGTGAATCTACGGCTTTATATTCATGTGAATAAGTGAATTTACATCTATTTGCAAAGAAGAAAAAGTGAATTTACATCTGATTTGAGTCATTTGGCTAGTTGAGTAAGCCATTGAATCATTGACTAGTTTTAACATTTATTATGAATGTGATTTGTAAGTCTGAAATTTTCATTATTAATTTGTCATCATTTATATCACTATGAATTTGATTGTAATTTGTTATTATTAAACTAATTATGTAGTTAGTATTGCTGTAGTTACTTGTAATCCCATTGTTTTCGATAAACGTAGTGACGATAAAGAAATATTTTAACTCGGTTGAAGTAGAAGAAAATAATGTCATTATCAAACAATATCATTCAATGAAAACCCGTAAAGAATATTTGTAAGTTGTGGTGTTTTTTGGTTTTGACTTTGAATTTTTTGTTGTAATATATGTTACTATGTATTTAATTAAATATTGGCCCCCGAATGTCAAAGCTAGATCCCTAATAGATGAATTTTAAGTATATCACTTGAAGTTGATCAAGTGAGTCCTCATTTGAAGATGGTAAGCTGAAGATCACATAAGGTTAAATTACTAGAAAGATTTATAAAGATTTCATTGTCATTTTTAAAAAACCTATATTAAAAGCCAAGTATATCATATATCAAAAGTTATACAAAGTAAATCTCTTTCAGATGCAAGGTATAGTTTATAGCTGAATATATATCGTGGTATTGATATAAATATAAAAACAATGTCAATTGCATCTTTTTAATGTTGGTTTGTTCTAAAAAAATCAGCTCATACGTTTGTATTAGATTCAAGGTGTTATCTTTTGATAAGCTTGGGATTTTGTATTGATATATTGATATCCTCTTGCAGCTGTCATAGATATTTTCTTTTGGACTGTTTTCGATCCTACACAACATCAAACTTAAACAGATCAAATCAGATTTAAACAGATCAGACCAGACTAGATCAGACTTAAACATGCCAGATCAAACTTGAACAATTATAAAATGCATAGAGATCATATTAGACCATATCAAATTAGTTCAGATAAGATGGGTTAATTATCAAAATAGGACTAAAAGTCACTCACTTTGCACAAATAAGACAAAAAAATAAACTATGTTTTCATAGGACTAATTATGTGAGTCTTGGACAAATATACCCTTATAGCTATTGAAATGTTTTAATTCATAATAAAAAATAATAAAAATTCATAAAAAATACTAAAAAATTAATAAAAATATTTCGATAATAATAATTTATTTTTTTATTTTTTTTCAAAAAATAAAAAAAGATAATTTTTTTTAAAATAATAAAAAACTCAAAAAAAAAAAAATCACCGCCGCCTCTGCCACCTCTGCACCACCACCTTCAGCCACCAGGGGAAAAAATTCCAAGTTCATTATGAATGTTATATTTATGGCATTCTCGAAGAGAAATATGCTATCTTTTTGGCATTTTCAGAAAAATGGCAGTTTTTAGGAAAAATAGCATTTTTTTCACCGCCCGGAGATGGTGGTGCAGGGAGATAGTACAGGCGGTGGGAAAGGCATCCATTTTTTTTTAATTTTTTTTATGGAGATTTACTATTTTTTATTAATTTAAAAAAAAATTAAAAAAATATATTTTTTTAATTTTTTTTCGAATTTATTATGAATTAAACATTTTATTAACTCATATTTAAAGGAAGGGTAAGAATGGAATAAAAAAATAGGTATATTTCTAATAGGACTAATATGATCCTATTTTGAAAAGAAAAACACAGTAAATACTATTTTGAGTTTTTGGCATAGTTTTAATCCTTTTTGGAGTAATTTCTAAAGTTATCACTAAATTTATATAAGCATTTTTTAACGGCCACAAGCCCACAACCGAAATTAAACCAAACAATTACAGTTGGTTCATTTTTTAGCAACCGGCTCTTTTGCATTTCACCGTAAACGGTGTTTGGATTTGATTCTTAAAACTATGTCTGTTCCCTCGGGAGGTAGAAACAGAAGTTGGAGTGTTTGTATAAAAGTGATCAGGAAAACTGATTCTGATACTGCTTTTGTTTTAAAGAAGTAGTAGAACTAGTTCCGAACGCTCCATTTCGATTCGATTTACGTTTTTTCGGATTCAACTCTGCTAGAAACTAGAAAGCACACTAAAACATTAAGGAGTCATATTCTTGCATCTGCTTTTTCGGAACCGGGAATTATACCCAATTCGACCAAAATCTCTCAAGCTTGAATCTAGGTTTTGGGAATGGAGGGTTGGGATCCAAATACAAAATCAACTCTCACACAGATCCCGCTTTTGTCGACGAAAGCGGGGCCGCGAGATGGCGCGGCCTGGACACAGCGGCTCAAGGAGGAGTACAAGGCACTTATCACCTATACGTCGATGAACAAGTCGAGGGATAATGACTGGTTTCGTATCTCCGCCGCTAATTCGGAAGGGACTCGGTGGACCGGCAAGTGCTGGTATGTCCACAATCTTCTCAAGTATGAATTTGACCTCCAATTTGACATCCCTGTCACCTACCCCGCGACCGCTCCTGAACTCGAGTTGCCTCAACTCGATGGGAAGACTGAAAAGGTTCTTTTTATTCTATTTTATTTTTGGGATTTGAAGATTTTGGATCCGGTATTTTGCTGCACCTCTGGTTTGTGATTTTGTCAATTTTGAATGTTTAGATGTATCGAGGAGGAAAGATTTGCTTGACGGTGCATTTCAAGCCACTCTGGGCGAAGAATTGGTAATTATAGTAAAGCAACCAAGAATTAGGGGTTTTCTTTTCTTTTCTTTTCTTCAGATTTATGGATTTTGTTTACAGTTCTTGTTAAGTTCTACTGGTAATTATTATCACTGAACATTGATTTACTGGCTGGTTTTGCCAGCCCGAGGTTTGGAATAGCACATGCCCTCTGTTTGGGTCTCGCACCATGGCTTGCAGCAGAAGTTCCAGTTCTTGTTGATTCTGGCATGGTTAAGCACAAAGACGATGCTTCTTCATCCTCTGAATCCTGATGAGAATTCCATCTCTCTACAGTTCTATCCTGGTGATATCCATACACGTTTTGTGTTGTAGTTTTAATTTATTATTAAGAATTAAACTAAATTCTTGCGATGTAGGTTCAAGATGCAGGGATTTTTCCCAAACGCCTGATACCAACAATACATGATTGACAGTCTTTTATTGACATCTCATTGTGAATATGTGATACTCCCTCTGGTTCTCAAACAACTTCCCATTTTTCTTTTCGGAAAGTCCCAAAAATAACTTTACACTTCTTATTTCCTTATTTGACAAATTATCTACACTAAAACAATGCAAAACAATGCCAAACAGTGCCAAACAGTGTACTCCACGATAAAGTCAAATTTAAATTTCTTAAACCGTGTGAAGTCAAAGTGTGAAGGTGTTTGAGAACAGGATGGAGTATATAAAAACAAATGCTAGAAGGCCATCATGGTTTTACCATTGGAACTGAGGATGTCATTGTATAATTATTCATCTTTGTGGTGTGATGTTTGATTTGATACTTGATAGATCATTCTCCTTTGTAGGTATGAGACCAGTTCTAGTTAAAATTTACAATTTTGCTATAGGTACCCCATAGTTACCCCATTCCTACCTCATATAAATACCCCTTTTTTTACCATTCTTTTTACCCCTTTCCAAAAACAATCCAAAAATACCTTTCTCTCACCTCTCCCACATCTCCCCACCGGCTCCTCAAATTTCCGCCAAAACCCCCTCCTTCGAAATTGCTACAGTGCTCCTCAACCAATCTCTCACCTTCTTTGTTTCTTTCATCTTGTATTTCTTGGATGGATATCATGGGAAAGGAAGTATCCGAGTTTAGTGATGATGTTCTTATGGATGGATTGACATGGGGAGATGAAGGTGACAAGCTTGATGATGTGGGTAACGGTGGAAATCCGCCATCTCCGCTCGCGGTTGAAGTAGCGACGACTTCAAGGGAAGAAGATGATGAAGGTGTGGACATTGAAGTCTTGGAGAAGGGTATGTTGTTTTTCGTCCTTTGTTTGTATTTTGTTTGGCGGACAGACAATTTGGAACTGCAGTGTCTGTCTAGCCTAAAAGTGAAAGCGGTTTCATACTTGTTTGAAGTGAATGTGGTTTATACTTGTTAGAGTCGTACATAAAATTTGTGTGTGGCCAAACAACTTTAAATGATTACCAATGTAGTTTTTATTTGGAAACATGGTTGTATTGGTAATGTAGTTTCTATTAGGGGTGGACCGGTTTCGGTTCGGGCCTGGGCCCGACCGGGCCTCGGTTCAAGAAGGGGAGGCCCAGAACCGGCCCCGGTAACCCCCGGGTCCGGGCCGGGCCTCGGTTCTATTTTTTTTTGGCTTTTCCTAGTTAACCCCCAACCCTCCCCCTCACCCCCAAACCAACCCTAACCACCTCAAATGGCCCAAAATACCCAGCCCAACCCAAAAACTTAAAAAAATTCAAAAAAAAAAAAAAAAAATTGGCTCGGCCCGGGCCTGAACCGGCCGGGCCGGTTCACCTTTTGAAGGGCCCGAGCCCGAACCGCCATCCCACCGGGCCGGTTGGCCCGAACCGGGCCCGGAACCAGTTAACTGGTCCGGGCCGGGCCCGCACAGTAGCGGGCTGGCCCGAGTCCACCCCTAGTTTCTATATTAATGTGTGTGATTTTTTTGGAAACATGGTTGTATTGGTATTGTGAACTGAACATGTATATTTTTCTAAAATAACAGATGAAGAGGAAGAACAGATTTGTATTCAAGTCCCCGTTGTGGGTATGGAGTTCCCTAGTAAAGATGCAGTGTACGATTTCTACAAGGAGTACGGGAGAAGAGTAGGGTTTCCTGTTAGAATAAGGAATCTAGGAAAGATGCGAATGGAACATCAGCAATTGCATTAGAGTGCGGGCGCGCTGGACATAGACAAAGTCGAGCACAAAATGTTTTGAAGTCTCTACCTTTAATGCAAGTTGGTTGCAAGGCCAAAATAAGAGCACGTATAAATTATGTCGGAGGTTGGGTGATTTCAACGGTTTGTTTAGATCATACCCATCCTATGAGTCCTACAAAGTCTAGACTATTTCGATGTAATAGGAGGTTGACAGGAAAGCTATGAGGCAAATTGCAATCAATGATGTCGCCGGAGAACCACTTCATAAGAGTTTCAACTCCGCGGTTGTAGAAGTCGGTGGGTATGATCAACATCCTTTCATTGAAAAGGATTGTAGGAATTATATAGATAAAGTGCGTAAACTTAGGTTGAGGAGTGGTGATGCGGTGGCATTACAAGATTTTTTTTAGAATGCAAGTTCAATGCCTTGAGTTCTTCTTTATGCTTGATTTGGATGAAGAGTCACGGTTACGAAATGTTTTTTGAGTCGACAATCGATGTCGATATGCTTACAATGATTTTGGGGATGTCATTACATTTGACACAACGTATCTTACCAAACGATATGACATGCCGTTTGCGCCATTTGTAGGCGTGAATCACCACGGTCAATCAATATTGCTTGGTTGTGGGCTAATCGCGAGTGAAGATACTCAAACGTTTGTGTGGCTTTTTAAAGCTTGGCTTCAGTGTATTGGACGAGTGTGCCCCGAAGGGAATTATTACCGACCAAGATTGAGCTATGCAAAACACCATCCAAATAGTGTTTCCGAATACGCGACACCAATGGTGTTTATGGCACATCATGAAGAAACTACCAGAGAAGTTGGGAGGGTTTACCCATAAAGATAAAATAATGGATGGTATACATGATTTGGTATATGACTCCCAATTCCCTGTTGAGTTTGAAATCGGTTGGAAATCTCATTTGGAAAGGTGGTACACATTAGCGTGGAAACCTATTATTTATTCCCAGACACATTTTGTCTGTGCCAGACATTAGTAGTCTGGGACAATTAACTCATATTTGTCTTACACCCAGACACATCTTGTCTGGGCCAAACATTAGTAGTCTGGGACAATTAAGTCATCTCTGTCTTACAGCCAGACACATCTTGTCTGGGCCAGACATTAGTAGTCTGGGACAATTAACAGAAAATGTATTGGGATATATATGAGAGGCACGAAAATGTACAAAATAACAGAATATGTTACGAAGCCAATATATAGCCCAATGTTAACATATACGAACACCACATTTGTAAATTGTGCTACATATACAAAAAACAAAAACTAATGTTCCATCCAATTGTTGAACATTGTACAACATTATACATTAACAGTTGTACAATACTCCACACATGTTGGCTAGAAAAGTCCTATGCTTCAACCACTTGCTTTAATCACCACAACCGGACAGCATATTGGCATCTCTTGGGCCACATTGTTCAGTCACTTGTTTAGTCACTTGTTCTGCCTCATTCGCATTGTCATTAGCATCAACCTCATTGCCACCAACCTGCCAAACAATAGGATTAACACTACAAGTCTGAATTAAACAAAGAATAACAAATCAAATCTGCCACATCCTCATTGCACTCACCCATCCTTTTCATCAACTTCAACCCGGTTTCCAAATCTGCCACATTCTTCCGCAGAGTTTTAATCTCCTCCATGACTTTAATCACCCATCCTTCCTCCCTACTTCTTCATCCTCGTTGTTCTCTGTTTCTTCTTCATCATCCTCATCAACATCTTCCTCTACTTCTTCCTCCTACACATGAAACAGTTGAATTATATAATATGATGTTATGACAAATTGCTTAAGTTAAAGAAAATAAGATATAATACATCATCATTGTCCTTGAAAACCAATTCATTCAGCTTCCGTGCATGAAAGAATCCACCAGCCTTCCAGTTCAACATAGGGATGTCTTCATTACCAACTCGTTCAGCAAATTGCTCTCCAAGGTTAGGAACGGTCTCATACGTCCAAACCTATATATATAAAAATTAAAATGTTTGTCTGCCCAAAATATGTACATCTAAATGTCTGTATGTACATATAAATGTCTGTCTGTTTACATTACCTGTAGAATATGAGGACATCCGTATAGAGTGAACTTGGTAACACAAGGACACTAGCTTCAGAGGGTCAGTAAGATCTCCTCTTTTAGGCTTGAATGACTTCAGCTTTTCCTTCAGCATCTTGAAGGTTATGTCCGTTGATCCAGCAAAGTACTTCTCAAACACCTTCCCCTGAACCTCTTCATCAGTACTGAACACAGGCCTGAGCAGAAGAGAATGGATAATTTGTGCCGAAAATTGCATCTCTGGCACAGATATGAGGTGGCCCCATGGCAGCTTCTTAAACTCCTCCAGTTGCTTCTTGGTCAAGGCAGACTGCACCAAGCTAACGGCCTCTTTGAAAAATGAGCACACGGAATACTGGACAGGAAACTGCTTCGACAAGGGAACTTGTAGTTCAAAAGCCCTGTATAATTTCACGCAAACCAATTACATTACAAAGTAATTTAAAATGACAGGACAAACAAAAAAATGAGTTGCCAGACAACTACTACTACATGACAGACAAATACATTCAGGCTGCCAGACCGTTTATAAGACTTGAAAGACAACTATAGACCGAATTTAAACAATTCAAATTCACGACCAGAATATTTCATATGGATGGCCAGACAACTACTTTTACATAACCGAAAACTACAAATTGGTTGCTAGACAATTTCTTTGACTTCACAGACAACTCCATTCACACCAACATAAAATAAATTCAACAAAATAGAAGAAATTACATACCTTTCAACCATTTGTGATAAGCTTGTGCGAACCATGGATTCAAAAACCTTCAGAATGGGTCCTGACGCTTCATTTGTTTCGTGGGGGGTGAGGGAGGCGCTTCGTTCGTGGGGGGTGAGGGAGGCGCTTCGTTCGTGGGGGTGAGGAGGGCAGTGTGTTGTTGTTTCGAGGTGAGGGAGACGCTTCGTTGGCGGATGTGAGGGAGGCGCTTCGTTCGCGGATGGGTTCCGGAGGTTTCAACTCAACGGCGGTTGGAAGCGGTTGGGTCGTGGGGTTGAGGACGGAGGTTGGACGGCGGTTGTGGCGGATGGGTTGGGAAGGGTTTTGAAAAGTTTCTGGGGAAGGGAAAGGGTGGGAGGGCGGGAGATTTGGAAATGGAGGTGAGGGGGAGTTTCGAGGCACGTGGAGGTGAGGTGAGGGGGATAAATTTTTGGGAAGGGTATTTATATGGGGTAGGAATGGGGTAACTATGGGGTACCTATAGCAAAATTATAAAATTTATTAGAACCGTATTAAAAAATGCAATTATTAAAGGGTTCGATTCTGGACTCTTCTGGGTTCCTTAAAATAGTGTACTATTTCTAAAATAAACCCAATTTAATTTATGTTACATAGAAAACAAAGTTCAAATCATTATGAATACAAATTTGGTCACACATAGCCATTATATTATATCATATGAACATCCATTTGTAGTGTTCAGTGTGTGTTAATAACTACTTATGTCATCTATAGTGTGTGCTAAAGAATTGCTCCTCACTATTTGTCAAACTTCAAGGATCAGCCTAGTGGCTTCGGTTTCGTAATATTTGGCCCACAAATGTTGTTTGCATTTGATTAGGATATTGCCATTATTATATGCCTTTTCCCCCTAAAGAAGTTTAAATTTAGAACATGTAAATCAATCAAATATCATTTGATTTAGTGGATGGAGTTAATTGCTCTCCTGCTAAGAGTATAATGAAAGAACATTCCAACATTCATTTTAAAGATGAGCTAAAATAACAAATATAATACAAACAAATAATAAATAAAATGGTGGACAAATATAATATTTCAACAAAGTTATCTATACTTCTAAATAGATAGAACTATAGGAGTAATCACCCACTACATTAAATCTATTTCAAGACAAACAAAAGTAATACTCCGTAATCAATTATACCAAAATTAGATAAAGTTCAAACTGAAAATAAACTCTAACTAGTTCCGGACATTATATTCCAAAGATTGGGTTTAATGCACCAAACCCTCTCGTGATATAGAAATTTAGACGTTATTATCATCTCACATAGAGATAATTATAATAAGATCCCATAATAGGAGTAAATGAGAACCTGGATGTTTTCAAGATGAAGAGATGGAACACGATTTTTAGAGGTTCAATGTCAAAGCTTAGAATTGAACTTGGAAGGCCGGAAGAGTATATAGCATTCAATCATGTGGAAAATGCTAAGATGAAGAAATCAAGAAGTCGAATTCACAGTAGCAATGACCCCAGATTGGTCGTTCGATTCTTTGGGAAGAGTTAGAAGACTTGCTATTAGGTTAGTGGTTAAAACTAAAAGTAATTTTTTAATCCTTTTTTCCAATGGGCCGCTCCAGCTTAATACCCATATGTGCGAATGAACCTTAATGAAAACTAGGGGAATATATGTTCGGTTCCTAGAAGTTAGTATGGTTAGAACCAGAACTGAACCGTTTGAATATATTAGGAATCGAACCGAAGAGTAGTCAAGTCAAAAAATTCAGGAATCGAACCGAACTGGTGATTTCGGTTCAGCTCGGCTCGGCTCGACTCGACTCGGTTTTCCCTATTTTGCGGTTTTAAGTCCCAGGCATATCCTTTAGTTAGATTGGTTTTTACATTTTGGCATATATGTTGTATGATTTTAGGTTTAGTCTCAAAGCCTTACTTATATGAGTATATCTAGGGGTGCATAAGAATCTTGGTCCCGTTGTCCCATTATGATGTATCCCAAAACTGTAAAGGTATTATTCTGCTCCCTTTGAGATCCGATCATTTTGTCCCACACCGGCCCCGTATCGATTTAAAGAGGGATATGGCTGGGACACCGGAATGTTATCACAAATCGTCTAAAAAAATAAATAAAAGTATGCTTTTACTTTTTCAAGCACAAGTTTGAAATTAAAAATAATACCTAATACAAATATTTACTAACTTAGGTTTGTGTCTCATTCAATATATTTGCATGAGTATCTCACCACTAGAATATACTCTCTCCGTCCCTAATAACTTTGTCAAGTTTGACCGGCACGAGGAATACTAAAGTAAAAACTGTGCGGTTGAAGTTTGAGCAGAGAAGAGAGAATGAACTGGAACTACAAACTTTTTGTTTAAAAGGAAAAGTGACAAAGTTAGTGGAGCATCCAAAAAAGTAAAGTTAACAAAGTTATAAGGGATGGAGTATAATTTAATCCTTGTTCGCAAATTTGATTGTTATGGGTTGAAGATCATGGACCGGGTGATATGAATAAATTAATGGTCTCCTTTTTTTCTAATAAATGATGATTTGTTTATGGGTAGTTTTGGTTTTAGCCTTTATTTTACTCAATAAAGCTTCCAAATTTTTTTTTTTGAACAAAAAATTTATCCA